GCCCCCGCTGCTCCCGCTGCGCGCTCAGCAGCTCGTCCAGCGCCTCCTCGCGCCGATGCCTGGCGATCGCGTCCATCAGGCTCCCCAGCTCGTCCCCTGACAGCACCCGCTCGACGCCGCCGAGGAAAGAGGCCCCAGGGACGCGGTGCTCGGTCACTCGCCCGTCCTGCACAGGGCGGCGGTTGCACAGGGGCGAGAGGGCAAGTATGAGCGCACGGTGCAAGCGCGAGAGCCATTTCAATGAGGGGGCCGCGGACGGGCGGAAGGGCATCAAGGAGCGCAACGGCGGCGGCGGCAGCGGCGGCGGCGCCCGAGCCGCTTCAGCGCATGTGGCGGAGACCGTGCCCGCCGGCCGGGCGGTCGGTCCTGGCGGCGAGCGCGCGACGACACACGGCTCGGCTATGCGGCGAGCCCAGCGCAGGGCCTCCCATTATCGGCCAGCAAGCGAATACATCTGGATCCCCAGAACAGCACGAGGACCCGGACGACTGCATTACTAAACCGCCTCCCACCAAAGCAGGGTGTGGCCCCCGCGGCTCACCACGTAGTGGAAGGTCCGTATGCGCTCGTTGAAGCGGGCGCCGCCGTGGGCCTGCTGGCGCGCGGAACTCAGGGATGCCGCCACCCTGAGCCTGTCCGCCTCCTGTACCTTTGACCTGCAGGGTGGTGGGGGTTAGGTAGGGATATGCCATATTTATTGTTCCTTTTTGGGGGGCCGGGGGCGGGGGCGTGTTGTGATAATGAGTGGCTCCATGTGGGTGGGGATGGTTGGGTCGGGGCTGGGGTCGATTGAGAGAGAAGTGGGCAGCTTAGAAGGATAAATCAACATGTCATGGCGGCGTCCAGGCGGCACGGCTTGCCCATCACAGCTGGCACCAAGGACCCCCGTCGGCCTACTTGGCCACTTGATTCGTTCGAGAGGCGTGCCCCAGGGAGCGAAGGCCGGGCGGTCGGCTGCACCACAGCCAGCTGCCCTCAGTCAACGCGCAAAACAATCACATGCGCGCACGAATGCCCGTCCGCAGTACTGCGTGCGCGCAATCACGCGCGCCTGCACGCACCTGAGCAACCTCAGCGCCTTGGCGCGGTTTTGGTGCTGCGAGCGCTCACTTTGGCAGGCAACCACCACCCCTGTCGGCAGGTGCGTCACGCGCACCGCGCTGTCCGTGGTGTTGACGTGCTGGCCGCCCGCGCCGCCCGCCCTGAAGGTGTCCCACTTGAGGTCCCCCTCGGAAATGGACACCTCGGACTGGGGGCGGCAGTCCAGAAGGCAGAGGCGGGCAGGGTTCACTTGGATGCGCCGCACTCGGCAATGAGATATGCTGACGCCGTAAGGCCCAGCCACCCAGCCCCTGGGCCAAGCTGGTTGTCCCAGATGGGTGAGTGACGGGCTGAACACAGGCGGGGCAAACGACTCGGCAAAGCACTCTGATGCAGGGCCGGTTAGGCCGATGGCAGCGGCCGCGGCCGAGGCGGGCTGCGCCCTGCGCACCTCCGCGGCCTCCGACAGCACCGCCACGGTGGCTGTGCCGGTCTGCATCTTCCCGGTCTTCTCGGTGAACGGCACGGTCTGCGCACGGCGCAAAGTCGAGCGCGCGAGGTTCGCGGCGTGAGGGTCGCGGCGTGAGCTTTGCGGCGCGGCGAGACGCAAGGGGTCAGCGCTCTGGCCGGCCGACGTCGGCGTGGGGCGCCACAAGGGCGGCGTGCCAGCTGGCACCATCGCGGGTTAAGCGGCGCCATCACAGGTAAAGTTGGTTGGGTACATAAGTGATGGTGCAGTTCAGTGTGGCATCTTTCGTCCCTGCGAGTTGGCCATCCTGCTTTGAATCCACAAGAGTCGCACACATTCATGAGCGGCAGACACGAGCGCGGGGCAGCGCGCCGCGCCGCCCCGCACACCTGGGCCCGGTGAACGCCGCTCTCCCAGCGCAGCCGCCCAAAGGCGCCGTGCCCGGCGACGACGGCGTCCGCCGCCTTGACGCCGCCATGGTCGTTGTATGTGACACTCATCAGCTGGGGGCGCAGGGGGGGAGGCGGCGGGCAGCCAAGGGGGTTGGCAGGAGTGAGATGAGCTTTGTGGGGGAGGAGGTGGGGCCAGGAAGAAAGGGCGCGGGCGGTTGGCGGAGGAAGGCTGGGGTGCTGAGCTCTGAGGGCAGCAGCGGGCCACAGCAAGCGCTGGCAGACAACTCCCCGGGGGTTGGCAGACGACACAAAAGGAGGGAGGATGGTCCCATGCAACCCCGTCCCCCCCACCCCAGTGCTCCGACACACGGGCGCAACTGCCAAAAGCTCCCTCCCTCTGTAGTGACGTACAAGCTCCTGCACAGCACAGCCATGCGCCAAGGTGTGTTGCAGGGAGAGGCCCCGGCTGGCACCCTCGCACCTCAAATTGCCAACCCTGGGCTATGCAGTACGATTTGTACATCCCAAGTAGGTCGCAGGCAAACTCCGCCGCCCACTCGCCGCCGACGCCGCTGCGAACCTGGCCGTTCGGTCAAGGGCGGTCAAGGGTGGTCAACGCCCGCGCGGGGGATGGCCCCAACCAAGCGGCGGGCGCGGCTGCAGGGGGAGAGAGGCGTCCCGAAAAGGGTGCGCCGCACGGCGCAGAAATGTGTGGGCTCACGCGCACCTCCAGAACTGCGTTGCGCTCGTCCTCCTCATCCGGGGGCAGCAGGTGAGACACCAGAGAGTCGCGCAGCTCCATGATCTGTCGCGCCGACGCGACCCCAGCAACCAGATCAATCAGCCAGCAGGGTTGTCAGGAGATAACGCGCTCCCACCTCTACCCACTTGGGAGGCAGGAGCAGTTCACACCGACAAAGAGCGGCAGTGAGCAGCGCACCGAGGGCGCCCCCGTCCCTGCAGCTGCAGTGGGCCCTATGGCTTTGGCCCCAAATCCCCTGCACATCCAGGCTGCTCCGCAAGCGCCGACAGGGCGGAACGGCTGCCCGGCTCGACCCTGAAGCGCAGCGGCGGCCACCTGCCTGCTGCGACAGCGCCGACCGCTCCTCCCGCGCCATGTCCCGCAGCTCTTCGCTCGACTCAGTGCTCAGTATCTCCTCGGCACCAGCCAGCTGCGGCACGGCAAGGGGGCCGCAGCGCACACAAGGGGCCTCGGGCGTCGCGCCGGGGTGCAAGGGTGGCGGGAGCCGGCATCGCGGCGCTGTGAGCGAAGGGCCCCCGCATCCGCTGGCGTGGCAGGGGCCGGGGACATCGCACATATGGTGCTGCTCTCGAGCCTCTCGTCACCGTGACCTCATGCAACTCCTGCTGCCCCACCGTCAGAGAACATTGGCGGTGGGCTTCCCTTGAAACGACGCTCATGCATGCCGCACAACTTCGCAAAGATCACTGGACGCCGCACGATCCGCCCACCTCCTGCTGTAGCCGCTCAATCTGCGCATACCCATCCGCCACTATCTGCAGCGCCCCGGCCCGCCGGCTAAGCTGCTGGTAACGCTCGCTGCTGGGGGACACGCCGCCGCCTGTGAGGTTCCGCGGGGCATGTGCGGGGTTTCCATGACCCAGCGCCATGAGACTTTTGAGGGGTGGCCGCGTCAAACGCAAGCTGGTTGCAATCGTGTGTGGCGGTTGGAGCAGCTTAGGTGAGGTTTAGCAGGCCCACAGGACCCCGCCATCCCACAAGGACACATGCAATTGGCAGCTGTGCAATGGTTGTGCAGGCAACTGCCTGCGGACAGGGGCCTGCCTCGCACCGTGGAGCTCCTGCAGCATGGCATGATGCTCCTGGCTGAGTGCCTTGAGGCGCTGGTCGATCAGCTGCTCCCTATCAGGCGCGGTGGCAAAGCCACGCGCCACGGCTGAAAGCAGCGGATGGTGCTGCATAACGTGCTGCACATGCTGCATGCCTGGCTGCACACAGGGCGTCCACAGCTGGCGGCCGAGGGTGGGCGCCATGGATTGCGCATAATCGAATGCACGTTCGAGGGCCGTTACAGGCAGTCGCGGCGCCTGGTGACCCAGCTGATCTGCGATCTGGATACCGGCTTTCGCAATTGTCGTTCTTGCCACCAGCTCTGCTACCGCGCTGTGAATTTGACACAGAGTTGTAGCGAGCGCACGCATGGCGGCACCGGCGG